AGCTCATTTAAATACAGTACTACATTATTTTGTAACTGGCTGCATKAGAAAACTTTTTTGAGGACRATTGATTCTTTTAATTTCAGATCACAGACAATGCAAATCATGTTCTCACCTTTAGAATGAATGAGCTTCAGGACTCTACCATTGAGTAAGTATCATGAATCTCATAAAAGTACTAGTTGATGTGATTTTATTAATAACCACATAAATCTATGATTATGTTTATTAATAGTGAATAATATAGATTCGAAATGTTTTAATATCCTTATTTGTCCTTTCAGTCACTCATCCATTCCTCCTTATGCACTATACCCCCTCCACCCTGTACTTGTATCAATTTAAGTCTGACAGATCTGCAAAACATAACCGAATAGCAATTAATCAATCMATCGAACCAGAAACGACTTATTTCTACCAACAGCAACTCAGGCAAAAGTCATCCTACCAATAAACCCCTGCACAATGAACTCTAAATTGACCATACATCAAATAGCTCATCTTAAAACCACACTTTCTATCAACTAAACCCTAGCAAGCTCAGCCAACAAATCACCCAACCAAACATCTAGTAAATRCACATTGTATGTATGTACCTTCAATAGGTGCATTCAATAATGATATTATATAGTATGTAATCTTATTTATGGAATATTTTGTTAGAAATTGCATGAAATTAAACAAATAGAGGACCAACTGAGGGGTTTCACACTAATTTGCCTAATTTAGTTTGCAAACCATTTCATGGATCTACATTTTGTATATTGAAATGCCAAGCAACCAACCACATATCTAACAAATCAGCCAAATGGCAAATAAGACCTAACCTTTGCATGTTTGACTTTCTCAAATCTATAGACATRTTCTTGTTGTTGCTGAAAGTATGTTTTATCAAATGGGACATATCATCTCAGAAAGAGACCAGTCATTTACAGTAAGTTTTTTAATAAAAGTGTGAAGATAAAAAAAATAAYAGTTGTTTTTGGAACTTTCCTTCATGTATTAAGGAATTATGTTTTTTTTACAGGATAATACTCATTTAAGATTAGAAAAAGAGCTGCTCTTGCAAGAGCGACAGGTATGCATTTCTCTCTTTTAATGATATTGTAATATTATTACTATTAATTTAGCATTTTTAATTAATGTGTTTTGTTGTAATTAAACTGACTTTACATTTTTGATAGAATTAAAAGCAAACATTGCTTTGTTTTACAAATGATCTGTTGTAGAAAATTTTGCTTTCTGATTGGTTCAATTTCAAAAATGATAGATAGTCATAATGGGAGAAAATTGTGCAAGGTTCTCAGATGCACATGCCTTGAAGCAAATTTAGTGATTAAAATTTTTGTTGCAGAGAGCCAAATCTCCAAGACCATTTTCTCCACCTCCTGCCACAGGACACCTTAATGTTGACTCTCCATCAATGGCTGCTTCAAAGGAAAAATTAAGAATGCTCACTGAAGAAATGTAAAGT